CCAGCTCAGATGTCTGACTTCCCACACTGTCCAAGAGGTGAAAGTTCCTGTGGTTCTCCCAACCCAGCTCACCCCAGGGTTCATCATTTGCTGTTGCAGTGAAGCTAGCCTGGAGGTGTTTTATACTTCACATTACCTGCATCCTGGGGTTTTATCTTCTGATCTCCACTTGTCCTAGGAAGACCACTGTTCTGCCCCAACTCTTGCTTATTTTTACCAGTCTCTTCACCCTGAGGTGCTATTTTATCTCGTTTGTGGGGGAAATCTGGAGAGCTTGGAGTTTTCTGTCTTCTGCCATCTTCCCAGTATCCTCTGGAAAATACATTTTGATAAAAGGTACCATAACTGGCTAAGAAATAGAGTGGTGGATCAGTGGAATAGTCTAAGTAAGCAAGACACAGTAGTCAGTGACTAGCTTCTGGGATAAGAACTCACTATTTGACAAACTGGGAAAATTGGAAAAGAGTATGGCAGAAACTAGGCATAGACCAACATCTTACACCATATACCAAAATAGTGAAAATGGGTACATGATTTAGATATAAGGCTGAAACTTTAAGCAAACTGGGAGAGCAAGGATTAGTGTATCTGTCAGATTTATGGAAAAGGGAAGAATTTATGACCAAGCAAGAGAGAGAGAACATGATAAAATGCAAAATGGATAATTTTGATTATGTTAAATTGAAAAGTTTTTGCAGAAACAAAGCCAATGTAACCAAGATTAGGAGGGAAGCAAAAAACTGGAAAAGAATTTTTACAACCAGTGTCTCTGATAAGGGCCTCATTTCTAAAATATATAGAGAACTAAGTCAAATCTATAAGAATACAAGGCATTCCCCAATTGATAAATGCTCAGAGAATATGAACAGGCAGTTTTCAGATGAAGAAATTAAAACTATATCTATAGTCATATGAAAAAAATGCTCTAAATAACTATTGATTAGAGAAATGCAAATCAAAACAACTCTGAAGTACCCCGTCACACCTATCAGACTGACCAACATGAGAAAACAGGAAAATGATAAATGCTGGAAAAGATGTGGGAGAGGTGGAGTTGTGAACTAATCCAGCCATTTTGGAGAGCAATTTGGAACTATGCCCAAAGGACTGTAAAAATGTGCATACCCTTTGACCCAGTAATACCACTTCTAGGGCTGTATCCCAAAGAGATAATAAAAATGGGAAAAGGACTCATATGTACAAAAATATTTAAAGCAGATCTTTTTGTGGAGGCAAAGAATTAGAAATTGAGGGATGCCCATCGATTGGGGAATGGCTGAACAAGTTGTATATGAAGGTAATGGAATACTATTGTGCTATAAGAAATGATGAGCAGGTTCAGAAAAACCTGGAAAGACTTGCATGGACTGATGCTGAGTGAAGTGAGCAGAACCAGGAAAACGTTATACCAGTAACAGCTATGTTGCGCTATGAGTAATATTGATAGACTTAGCCCTTCTCAGCAATGCAAGGATCTAAGACATCTCCAAAAGTCTCATGATGGAAAATGCTATCCACATCCAGAGAAAGAACTATGGAGTTTGAATGCAGATTGAAGCAAACTACTTGCTTTTTTTTTCTCTTCTGTTTTCTTTTGTTTCTTCTTTCTTGTGGTTCCTCCTACTGGTTCTAATTCTTCTTTACAACGTGACTAATGTGAAAATGTTTAATAGGAATGTATATGTAGAGCTTATATCAGATTGTATGCTGTTTTGGGGAGGGAGGGGGAGAAAATTTAAAACTCAAAAGCTTGTGGAAGTGATTGTTGAAAACTAAAAATAAATTAATTAATTAAAAAATAAAAAGTAAATAAATAAAAGGTGCCATAGACAATGAAGCAGACATGTCTTCATAGGTTTTTCTGAATGCATCCCCCTTATCTTTTCTCAGTGCACAACAATATTCCATCACAGGCATATACCATATCTTATTCAGCCATTCCCCAGCTGTTGAACATCCTCTCAATTTCTAATTCTTGTCGTTGCAAAATGTAAATGTTTTTGTACATTTTTGTCCTTTCCCCTTTTGTTTGATCTCTTTGGGATATAGACCTAATATTAGTATTGCTAAGTCTCAGGGTATGCAGTTTTATGGTCCTTTAGGCCTAGTTCCAAATACTCTTCAGAATGATTGGAGCTGTTCACATCTCCACCGATAGTGCATTAGTGTCCCTGTTTTTCACATCTCATCAGCATTTAGCATTTATTTTTTCTGTCATTTTAGCCAATCTGATAGGTGTGAAGTGGTATCACTGAGTTGTTCTAATTTGCATTTCTCTAATTATTAATGATTTAAAGTATTTTTATATGACTATTGATAGCTTTGATTTCTTCTGAAAAGTGCCTGTTTGTGTCCTTTGACCATTTTTCAAATGGAGAATGGCTCTTATTTTTATAAATTTGGCTCACTTCCCTCTGCATTTGAGAAATGAGGCCTTTGCCAGAGAAACATGGTGTTAAAAATTAATTTTTTTCCATTTTCCTTCCAATTTTGTCTGCATTAGTTTTGTTTTTGTAAAACTTTAAATATAATGTAATCAAAATTATTAATTTTACTTCCCCTGATGTTCTCCACCTCTTGTTTGGTCATAAATTCTTCCATTCTCCATAAATCTGACAGGCAAATTTTTCCGTGCTTCCATACTTTACTTCTGATATCATCCTTTATGTCTAAATCATAACCTTATCTTGGTATAAGGTGTAAGATACTGGTCTATGCTTAGTTTCTTTTGGACTGCTTTGCCATTTTCCCAGCAGTTTTTCGCACAGCAGAATGGAAGTAGCTCAAAAGAAATGTGAGATGATCAAATTTAGAGAATGCACCCCAAATGTTCACATGGACTATTTTTTTTATCATAGTTCAGGATCTTTTTTTTATTATTTATATTTTTGTAGTTTTTGTTTATTACATTTTGTTGGATCTGCTTATTTTGCACTGTCAGTTAATGCATATCTTCAAATGCTTCTCAGAATTGCTCATATTTGTCATTTTTAACTATATAAATGACTTATTCATATGCCATTTTTTTCTAGCTATTATTTATTGGTAAGAATTGTTTCCAGTTCTTTGCTGCTCAAAGGTGTGCTCTTATGAATGTTTTTGTGTAAAAATTCAGTTGTGGCTTTGGTCTGGTGATATAGAAAGGGAATGGCAACATTGTACATTAAGAATAGCCCTGGATTTGAAGCCAAGAGGATCTGGGCTCAAAGTGTAGATCTACCATTTACTCCCCATTTGGCCTCAAGTAAGTCAACTTCTCCTCTGAGGTCCTCACTTCCCTAATGTGTAAAATGAGAAAGTTGGACTCTAAAGTCTCTTCCAGCTCTAAATATATGAATTGGAAAGTTATGGTCCTTTAACACCCTTTTCAATAGTAAAAAATTGTTTACATGCTGTTACAGACAGGAGATTGTAGTCCCCCACTTGTATGGTTCTAGGAGCATAGAGCACAATTGTGTTTATTTCAGAGCACCACATTTTAAGAAGCACAGCAATTGGATGAAAAGAGGAAGGAAACTGTCTTGTGAAGAAATCAGGCTGATTAGTCAAAGGAACTGGATTTGTTTAGATTGGAAGTAAAGACTTTGGATCACATGATAGCTATTTCATTTTTAGAAAAGGAATTAGCCATATTACTGCTTCAGCTCAGAGGGTAAAAGTAGTAGGAGCTAGAGGTGCTCACTGTAAAAAAAAAATGAAAGACATTTAAAATTGATATTATTTGGAACCATTTCTGACAATAAGCATTTATTAAATACCTGCATAGTGCCAGGCACTGTACTAAGTGCTGGGGATACAAAGATGGCAATAATAGCTCCTTCCCTTATGGACCTTACAAACTAGTTAGAGAGGAATTCTTTTTTTTTTATTCATTTAATTTTTAATTTATGGAATAAAACAAGCATTTCCAATACATACGTATAATAAAAAGATGGTTGCATATAAACTACAAATCTATTAACCTGTAACTTGCTATTCCTTTTAAATATGTAATAAAGTTATCACGTAAATTTCTTTTTCTCCTTTTACCCCGAAACCTAGAGATGGCTACCATTAGATACAAGTGTGTGTGTGTATGTAAAATCATTCTATACATGCTTCTATTTATCAATTCTTTCTGAGAGAGGAATTCTTAAGTGCCTGCTATATACCAGACACTATACTGGGATACAAATAAACAAATGAAGTAATCACTTGTGGCAAGGGAAAGATGAAATGACTGAGGAAATAAAGGTTCAGTCTTTTGGGCATATCAGTTTATTGAACAATTCATGGCAATTGCATGACAAACTTGACCAGGCCCCTTCCTCAACTTAGGGCTGGACCCTGAATAAAGGGAAAGACATACTTTTATACATTAAAAACAATCAAAGAAGACCAATTAATTAAAAGCAAATAATACAATATTATGTAATATGATTACTAATTAGAGGAAAGATTGAGGACTTTCCATGTTGAGACGGGGAAAGGCAACAGGTTCAGTTCCCTGAATTCAGAATTTGAGGTGGCCCACTCCCTGCAAGCATATGTATACAATCATAGGAACACGGAAGCAATAATTAAGTGTTCAGTATGAGGCCAGTTTTTAGATAAGACATGGGTTTCTTGAGATGTACAGTTGTGAGAAAACCTGTTGTATCAATCTTTTTGCATTTGACTGGGTTTCTGATCAGCATAACCTAGGTCTTTAAGAACTAATCAGCAGATAGAAGAGGTCTCATTTCTCAGCCACACAAGGCTAGGTCCACAATTGAATAAATTTTTCTCACCAGACAGAAGTTGGACTAGACCTGTAATTGAGCAGAAAAAGAACTGAGCTACCCCCAGAACTGAGTCACAAAATGGGGGTCAGTGTGATTGACTCAATTGCCTCAATTCCCTGTACCACTTGCTGTCCTAATGCTCTCAGTTCCCTCACCCTAATGGCAAGGAGTTTATATTTGAACTTTACAACAGTTAGAGCTATAGCTGGGTAAGCACCAATGTTTTTGGTATTTCAGGAATCAGTGACATTTAAGGATGTGGCTGTGGAATTCACCCAGGAGGAGTGGGTGCAATTGGATCCATCTCAGAAAAAGTTGTACTGGGATGTGATGCTGGAGAACTATAGGAACTTGGTTTCTTTGGGTAAGAACAGCTACCCCTTTGGAGTCTTTATATATACTATGCAAACTTTCAAGAATTTAAATTATTCTTTGACATACAGGAGGAAAATAGTCCTAATCCTTTTGTAGCCAAGGGACTGATTTCTTGTACTACCTGTTTCTAGGAAAAAGATCTAAGCTTAGTATGCCTGGAAATTGATTTCTTGTTATTCATGAGAATGTGTCCTCCCCTCTCTTTTGCTTCAAATCCAAGATATTCTTTTTAATCCCAATGGAGGTTTCATCATGCACAGTGTTCCCACTGTCTAAGCAGGAAGTGAGTCAAATGAACTATTTTTTCCTAAGCCCTACACAGTAATCTATTCTACCATAGTACAGAATATCCTTCAGTGGTCCTTTGAATTATCCTCAAGGTCTTCCTAGCATTCCTACATTTTTTCCAAAGAAGGTTTGAACTTGTTTTGAATTCTTTTATTAAGTTTTATGGATACTTTTTGGGGGAAAAAAAGTAATTTCTCCTTCTCCTGCCACCTAAAAAAAAAAACAATAAAAAGAAAGAAAAAACCCTACTTCTCCCTCCAATCAAGCCATTGAGCCCCCTGTTGTTGAAAAAAAAACTCAAGACAACATCAGCTAACGTAGTGCCCTTGGTGGTAAAAGATACGTCTAGCACCCTTATTCCCCCACCTTTCTATTAAGAGTTTGAATGAGTATTTCTTCTGTTTTTTGATGGAACTCTGCAGTGACTCCCTACCACTTTCATTTTCAATGACCACGATTTTCAGTTTCCAAACCAAATGTGATTTCCCACTTGGAAAGAAAGGAAGCATCTTGGATGCCAGAGGCAGATATTCCAAGAAGCAGCTGTCCAGGTGACTACAGAAAACCAAGCAGATGGGTCATTGCAAAGTAGTGACGTGTTGGTCATTTTAGGTCAAAGCCCTTATACAGTGTTGAACAGCGTAGTCTATCAAAGCTTCTCAGGCCTGTTGAGAGGAGTTGAAACTTTTTAAATTTCATTTTTTACTTCAAGAAGTTACTTTTTCAACATATCTCTCTTTATTGAAATGTACTTCCACTCTAAAAGAAAGTTGTTGCCTCTGTACAGGGCAGTTATTTCTCTTCTGTTCATTGAAGATTATCTTAGTTCTCCTGCCTCACTTATATGAATTCATCATTTAAGGTATTAAGTAATGTGCTCTTTTTGCTTGTGAGTTCTTGTCTGATATTTTTTTCTCTTTTGTGTTTATGATTATATTGCCTTGCTACTTTTAAAAATAATTAATCCTAACCTAATTCCCCTTTCTTCAGTCTATCATGTTATGTGTCATCCTGTTTTTCCTTATGCTTTAAATTATGTTTATAAAGGCAAATTAACATGTTCATGAGACAGGATTTTTTTAGCCATAACCCCATCATTAGAATATAGATTTTTATTATTTTGCTCTTTCACAAAAAACTGTTGTGAAAATTTTGCAGAGAGTGCTTTCTTTGCTTTCAGTAACATTTTGAGGATATAGACCAAGTAGGAGGACCCTTGGGTCAAAGGATATGAAAAATTTTGTACCTGTAGCTAAAACTACTGTTCCTTTTCAGAAAAAAAATGGCATCAGCAGGTTAATAAGTTAGCTATTTCCACATAACTGCCAAAATTTATCAGTTTAAAGTGTCTTTTCTAATCTGATGACTATTGCTACTTCCAAATTGGCACAGTTTGAGTAATGTTTCAGATAATTATTAGTAATTTCTTTTGTCAAAAATATCTCTATGTCTTACTCTTACAAATTTTAATCAATTCCTTACAAAGTAGATATGTTGGATTTTTAGAGGAAATTTATAGCAACAATTATCATGTTTTTACCCTTGTATTTCTTCTTTATTCTGTTTATTTCATGTATCTATTTCTCCTCCTCACTCTAAACTTAATTCTCTGGTTTCTTTCTGTTCAGTCTTTTCCCTTCCTATTTTCATCTCAGAGGGTAAGGATACATTTATAAGTTCTCAAAGTCATTGATTTTTTTTCTTCTGAATAGTCTTTTCTATCCAAATGTCAGCCAGTGAAAGTAGAGTAAGGGTTCATTCATCCCTCCTGGTAATTTCATCTTATGTCAATTCATTTACATGTTACCTTTGAGTCATCATACTTTCACATAAGATAAACTTATCTTTAGTGAAAGACTAGTGAGAGTAGCCTTCTCAAGTTAGAATACAAGAGAATAGCTCTAAAACCTTTGAACAACTAAGAACCTTGGGAAAGGGTAAAAAAAAGAGTTAATCAGCTCTGTATTCTTCCTTTCAGAGAGCAGAGAATTTGCTGGAGATAAACCTCTTGAATGTAATGGATATGGGAATGCCTTCTGGAGCAAGGAGCATCTTGCTGTGTGTCAGATAATTCATACTGGAGATAATCCTTATGAATGTAGTGAATGTAGGAATACTTTCAGGTTTAAGATACAACTTAAACGGCATCAGAGAACTCATAGTGGAGAGAAAGCTTATGAGTCCAGTGAATGTGGAAATGCCTTCTGGAAGAAATCACATCATACTGAGCATCAGAGACTTCATACTGGAGAGAAACCTTATGAATGTAGTAAATGTGAGAAGGCCTTTAGGATTAAGTCAGAGCTTACTGTGCATAAGAAAATTCATGCTGGAAAAATGCTTTATGAGTGTAAGGAGTGTGGGAAGGCTTTCCCCTGCAACTCGTATCTTACTAAACATAAAAAAATTCATACTGGAGAGAAACCTTATAAATGCAGTGAATGTGGGAAGGCCTTCAGGAGTAAGGCAGAGCTTGCTGTGCATCAGAGAATTCATACTGGAGAGAAACCTTATGAATGTAGTGAATGTGGAAAGGCCTTCAGGAATAAGGGAAATCATACTGTGCATCTGAGAATTCATACTGGAGAGAAACCTTATGAATGTAGTATATGTGGAAAGACCTTCAGGAGTAAAGATCAACTTACAATGCATCTGAGAGTTCATACTAGAGAGAAACCTTATGAATGTAGTGAATGTGGAAGGGCCTTCAGGAGTAAGGCACTTCTTACAGTGCATCAGAGAATTCATACTGGAGAGAAACCTTATGAATGTATTGAATGTCAAAAGGGCTTTAGGTGTAAAAGACAGCTTAAAGTACATCAGAGCATTCATACTGGAGAAGACAAACCTTTTGAATGTAGCGAATGTGGGAAGGCCTTCAGGAGAAAGTTTGAGCTTACTATGCATCAGAGAATTCATACTGGAGAGAAACCTTATGAATGTAGTGGATGTGGAAAGGCCTTCAGGGTTAAGAAACGCCTTATAATGCACCAGAGAATTCATACTGGAGAGAAACCTTATAAATGTATTGAATGTGGGAAGGCTTTCAGGACTAACTCACAACTTAAAGGGCACCAGAGAGTTCATACTGGAGAGAAACCTTATGAATGTAGTGAATGTGGAAAGGCCTTCAAGGATAAGCGATATCACACTGTGCATCAAAAAATTCATACTGAAGAGAAACCTTATAAATGTAGTCATTGTGGAAAGGTCTTCAAGAATAAGCGATATCACACTGCGCATCAGAAAATTCATACTGGAGAAGACAAACGTTTTGAATGTAGCGAATGTGGGAAGGCCTTCAGGAGTAAGTTTGAGCTTACTGTGCATCAGAGAATTCATACTGGAGAGAAACCTTATGAATGTAGTGAATGTGGAAAGGCCTTCAGGCGTAAGGGAAATCATACTGTGCACCAGAGAATTCATACTGGAGAGAAACCTTATGAATGTAATGAATGTGAGAAGGCCTTCAGGAGTAAGTCAGAGCTTAGTGATCATCAGAAAATTCATACTGAAGAGAAACCTTATGAATGTAGTGAATGTGGAAAGTCCTTCAAGAATAAGCGATATTACACTGTGCATCAGACAATTCATACTGAAGAGAAACCTTATGAATGTAATGGATGTGGAAAGGCCTTCAGGATTAAGAAACAACTTACAAGGCATCAGAAAATCCATACTGGAGAGAAACCTTACAAATGTAGTGAATGTGGGAAGGCCTTCATATATAACTCAAAACTTGTAGTGCATCAGAGAATTCATGCTGGAGAGAAACCTTATGAATGTAGTGGATGTGGAAAGGCCTTCAGGATTAAGAAACAACTTACAAGGCATCAGAAAATCCATACTGGAGAAAAACCTTACAAATGTAGTGAATGTGGGAAGGCCTTCATCTATAACTCAAAACTTATGGTGCACCAGAGAATTCATACTGGAGAGAGACTTTATGAATGAAAGAAAAACCCCTACTTCTCTCTCCAGCCAACCGATTAACACCCCTCCCCCCACCATGGTAGAAAAAAAACTCAGACAAAATCAGCTAACATAGTGCCCTTGGTGGTATAAGATACATTGAGCTCCCTTATTCCACCACCTTTCTACTAAAAGTTGGAGGGAGTATTTCATCTGTTATATGATGGAACTCTGTGATGACTCCTTAGCACTTTCATTTTCAATGACCAGGATTTTCAGTTTCCAAACCAAATATGATTTCCCACTTGGAAAGAAAGGAAGCATCTTGGATGCCAGAGGCAGATATTCCAAGAAGCAGCTGTCCAGGTGACTACAGAAAAACCAAGCAGATGGGTCATTGCAAAGTAGTGACGTGTTGGTCATTTTAGGTCAAAGCTCTTGTACAGTGTTGAACAGCGTAGTCTATCAAAGCTTCTCAGGCCTGTTGAGAGGAGTGGAAACTTTTTAAATTTCATTTTTTACCTCAAGAAGTTACTTTTTCAACATATCTCTTTATTGAAATGTACTTCCACTCTAAAAGAAAGTTGTTGCCTCTGTACAGGGCAGTTATTTCTCTTCTGTTCATTGAAGATTATCTTAGTTCTCCTGTCTCACTTGTATGAATTCATTCTTTTAAAATAAGCACATTATTAAAGGTATTAAGTAATGTGCTCTTTTTGCTTGTGAGTCCTCGTCTGATATTTTTTCTGTCTTGTGTTTATGATTATATTGCCTTGCTACTTTTAAAAATAATTAATCCTAACCTAATTCCCCTTTCTTCAGTCTATCATGTTATGTGTCATCCTGTTTTCCTTATGCTTTGAAATTATGTTTATAAAGGCAAATTAATATGTTCATAGGACAGGACTTTTTTAGCCATAACCCCGTCATTAGAATATAGATTTTTATTATTTTGCTCTTTCACAAAAAACTGTTGTGAAAATTTTACAGAGAGTGCTTTCTTTGCTTTTAGTAACATTTTGAGGATGTAGACCAAGTAGGAGGACCCTTGGGTCAAAGGATATGAAAAATTTTGTACCTGTAGCTAAAACTACTGTTCCTTTTCAGAAAAAAAATGGCATCAGCAGGTTAATAAGTTAGCTATTTCCACATAACTGCCAAAATTTATCATTTTAAAGTATCTTTGCTAATCTGATGGCTATTGCTACTTCTAAATTGTTTTGATTTTTACTTCTTTGATGACCAGAGTTTGAGTAGTGTTTCAGGTAATTATTAGTAATTTCTCTTGTCAAAAATACCTTTATATGTTACTCTTACAAATTTCAATTAATTCCTTACGAAGTAGACATGTTGGATTTTTAGAGGAAATTTATGTCAACAATTGTCTCATCCGCCCCCCATATTTTTTCTTTATTCTGTTTACTTCATGTACCCATTTTTCCTCCTTACATTAAACTCAGTTTTCTATTTTCTTTCTATTCAGTTTTTTTTCCCTTCCTGTTTTCACCTGACATGGTAAGGATACATTTGCAAGTTCTTAAGAGGCATCATTTTTTTTTCTGAATAATCTTATTCTATTCAAATGTCAGCCATGTAGAGTTAAGGGTTCATTCATCTCTGTAGGTATTTTCATCCTTAGTTCATTTACATATGTTACCTTGGGGTCATACTTTCAGATAAGATGTATTGATTCTTAGTGAAAGACTAGTGAGACTGGCCTTCTCAAGTGAGAAGGCAAGAGAACAGTTCTAAAACCTTTGAACAACTAAGAACCTTGGGAAAGGGTAAGAAATGCAGGATTAATCAAGTCCTCATTCTTCTTTCAGAGAGCAGAGAATTTACTGCAGGTAAACCTTTTGAATGTAATGAATGTGGTTAGGCATTTAGGAGCAAGGAGCATTTTGCTGTTTACCAGAGAACTCATACTGGAGAGAAGCCTTATGAATGCGGTGAATGTGGGAAGGCCTTCAGGAAGTAGAAACTTTCTCTGCACCACAGAATTCATACTGAAGAGAAACCTTATGAATGTAATGAATTGGGAAGGCCTTCAGAATGAGGATACATCTTAGTTGATACCAAAGAATTCGTTCACAAAAGAAACCTTGAGTGTAATGCATGTAGGAAGGCCTTTGTGTGGAGACACTTCTTTATGTCCATCAGAGAATTCATCTTGGTGAGATTTCTGATGAATGTAAGGCATGTGGGAAGGCCTTCCATTGCAAAATCCAAAATTTATGCTAGAGAAACACCTCATATATGTAGTGAACATGGTGAGGCCTTCAGGACAAAGCCACATTTACTGTATGTCGGAGAAGTCATACTGAAGAAATTCTTTGTGAATGTGTGTGTGGGAATGCCTTCCAGCACATATCAGATCTTTATCAATTTCAAATAATTCATACCTTATGAATGTAATGTACAGGGCAAGTTTAGACTAAGGTCACTACTTTATGTCCATCACATAATTCATACTAGAGTGAGTTCTCATGAATGTAAGAATTATGAGAAGATCTCCCAGCTGATTGGACTGTGCTTCTGAGTCCCTAGAGAGAGTTCATAGAGTCCTTATTTAGGAAAGAATATCCTCCTCTCTGTAGAGGCTTCTAAAGGGGCAAAGATTTATTGTTAACCCCCCCATGGGTCTTCAGGGAGGGAAAGGATGTGTCTGCCTGCTGCTCAGTAAGGGCCATTCTTGCTAGAAGAACTGGAGAAAGAAAACAAATCCGTTAGGGGCTGCATTGTGGATGCCAACCTGAGCATCCTCAACTTGGTTATCATGAAGAAAGGTGAGCAAGATATACTAGGACTGACAGATACAACTGTGCCTCGTCGCCTGTGGCCCAAAAAAGCTAGCGGAATCCACAAACTTTTCACCTTGTCCAGAGAAGATGATGTCTTGTCAGTATGTTGTGAGAAAGCCTCTCAACAAGGAAGGTAAGAAACCCAGGACCAAGGCTCCTAAAATTCAGCATCTGGTGACTCCCTGAGTTTTGCAGCACAAACATAGACACATTGCTTTGAAGAAGCAACATACCCAGAAGTACAAGGAGGAAGCCGCAGAGTATGCTAAGCTTTTGGCCAAGAGAATGAAGGTGGCTAAAGAAAAACGACAGGAACAGATCACTAAGAGACATCAGCTGTCTTCCCTGAGAGCCTCCACCTTGAAATCTGAGTCCAGTCAAAAATAAAATTTCTGAAAATGTGTTAGAAATAAGTAAAAAATAAACATTGCTGACAGTTCTTGAGGAATATATCATAATCTGAGCTGTGTTCCTGATGTTGCTGGTGTTGCTTCTGCTCATATTCATTTGGGTATCCACAGTGGACCTGTGATGAATAAATTAAAAAAGACATTCTGTCCTCTCTCAGTATGCCTGCAATTTGACCCTGACTCTTTTTTTCATGTTAATATTATTTCTAGCTAGATGTTGAAGGACTGTTCATGGTATTTGCTCCCAAGAAGCGCTGGCGCCACCTCCAGGAACTGAGTGTTCCTAAACAGGAAAGCTTTCAAGGATAGTTTTGAGAGCAGCTTCTTTCCCACAGGTCATGTATTTTTGTTAAAAAGCCTTCTTTGTTAGAAGGAATTATTAAAGGCTGGCAGTCCTGAGCCGTCTTTGGAGTCTCCCCGTGGTACAGACATGTAGCCTGGGACTTTCCCATTAGGTCTCTCAATGCTGAACCCGGGACTCCCCAGCTGCCTGATCCAGATGTAGTTGATTCTTCTGACAGTGGTGACTGATTGTGACGTAAGTTGTTACTTATTGAGATCTGTGTTCAATAGTGGTAAGATTTGATACCAATTGTGACAAGTTATTATTGATTGAGACTTATGTTGTTACCTATTGGGACTTACTAACTCTAACTCTTATTTTCCTTGTTAACCCTAATCCTGTTTTACTATTGTAATAATAAATAGTTGATATACATATACATATGCATATATATATATATGTGTGTGTGTGTATATATTTATCAAATCTGAGACTCTGTATCATTTCTAAACCAATCTGAACCAAAACTAAATTAAGCTACAGTAAATAAGGCTGCTTCACAATACAGCACCATAAAGACTTGGAATCACCTTAATTAAAACAAGGCAGATGTTGAAGCAATGTGATTTCTGCCCAGTGCTCTTAATGTGAAAGAGAAGTTCATTGAAATGCAGGTAGACAGCAGGATTAATTATGGCCTTCTTATGGTAGCCAAATGCCCTGTCATCTAATTAGTGATACACAAGAAAAGATGAGTTAGATTTTCATTATGATGAAGGAATATAAACAGAGTTTTCAATAAGAAAATCAAAGCCATCAATAATAATGAAGTGCTCTAAATCACTGTTGATTAGAGAAATGCAAATGAAAACAACTTTGAGGTTACATGTCTGTACTGCCTCAGATTGGCCAATGTGATAGTAAAGGAGAATGATGCATTATTATTTATTTATTCATTTGCTTATTTATTTTTAGACAATTGGGGTTAAGTGACTTGCCCAGGGTCACACAGCTAGTAAGTGTCAAGTGTTTGGTCTGAGGCCGGATTTGAACTCAGGTCCTCCTGACTTCAGGGCCGGTGCTCTATCCACTGCGCCACCTTGCTGCCCCTAGAATGAGAAATTCTTGAGGGGGTGTGGAAAAGTAGGGTCACTAATACACAATTCTGAACTAGAATAATCATTCTGGAGAACAATTTGGAACTGTGCCCAAAGGGCTGTACACTGTGCATGCCCTTTGACATAGCAACACCACTAGTAGATCTGTATCCCAAACAGATAAAAGAAAAAGTCAAAGGACCTATATGTACAAACATGTTTATAGCAAGTCTTTTGTGGTGGCTGAGAATTGGAATTTGAGGGTATGTCCATCAATTGCTGAATGGCTGAAGAAGAGGTTGCATATGATTTTGATGTTATTGTGCTCTAAGAAATGAGGAGGATGGTTTTGGCAAAACCTGGGAAGACCTATATGAATAGATGCAGAGGTAAGCAAGCAGAACCAGGAGGTTGTTGTATACTGTAACAGCAATCTTTTAATGATGATTAGATATCAACTGAATGACTTAGCTACTCTGATCAAGAAAATGATCTTAAGACAATTCCAGAGCGCTCATGAAAAATGCTGTCAACCACCTCCAGAGAGAGAACTGACAGTGTAAATTGAAGTATGTTTTTTACACTTTTTAATTCTCTTGCTTTTTTATGACATGGCTAAAATAAAAATGTTTTGCAGGATTTCAAATGCATAATTGATATATTGCTTGTCTTTAATAGCTGAGGGAGGAAGAATATTTAAAATATTTCTTTTAAGTGATGAGGGAAAAGCTTTTGAAGTCACCCACGAGGGGCAGCTAGGTGGCGCAATGGATAGAGCACCAGCCCTGGAGTCAGGAGTTCAAATCTGGCTTCAGACACTTGACACTTACTAGCTGTGTGACCCTGGGCAAGTCACTTAATCCCATTGCCTAGCGAAAGGGAAAAAAATCACACGTGAGTAGGATCTTTCTGCAGCATAGAGGAAAAGGCTAAGATTTTAGCATGCTTCCTTTAATCCCAATAATGTGCTGCCAATTCTAGCCAGATGGATGCAAAGGTCAATGCTAGCCAATTTGCAGAGGTCCAAGCTTGGACTCTAGGATAGTAGAAAGTTTTAGGGAGTGACTGGTACACACCAACGAGAAGTTGGCTCTGCAGCCATTGAACTAATCCTAGAGCATGGTCATCTGGTCTTTTCTGCCTCAAAGAGTTGGGAAGGATCTACAAATATTCACTCAGAAACCCATTGTTCCAGTGCTTCCATCCCCTCAACCTCAAGTGTTTCATTAAGATCAGTGTCTGGAGCTGTTATGCTCTTCAGTGGGCACACAATATGTAATCACCTTGTAAAGACAGGCTGAAATCACACTGGCGGACTTTAACGAAACAGTTAATGTTTTATGCTAGAATCCATCAGAAGGCTTTTTGTAGGTCAGGTTTTTTTTTCTTCTAGACAGTGGGATTAACAGGGTCACACAATTAGTAAATGTCTGAGGCCAGATTTTGGACTGAGGAAAATGAGTTTACCTGACTAGAGGCCTGGCACTCTTTCCCCTGCACTACCTAGCTGCTCAGTCAGAGAGCTGCTGAGGCCCTAAAACAGAATGACGTACTCTGACCTATAATTTTTTAATATCGGTTTGCTAATTTTGTAGAGAATGTTTTTGAAAGGAGAAAGGCTGCCTGTGTGTCTGTTTTGTTCTTGACCTGTGATTTCATTGTTATGGGGAAGTCACAGTGGAGGTTACCTACACTCATCGAGATGGACAACTGCTCTGTAAATGATTGTCCTAGACCTAGGCAAACCATGATTCCAGAAGACTGAAGATAAGCATGTTGCCTGTCTCTTTCTGGAGAGGTGATTTATTTCAAGTATAAAATGAAACTTAGATTTTGGGGTGTGGCCAATGTGGAAATATATTTTGCTTGACTGTGTGTGTGTGTGTGTGTGTGTGTGTGTGTGTGTGTGATGAAGGTTATACTTTTCTTGGTCTTTTTTGTTCCATGAAGAAGAAGAAAAAAAATTGCTAAAAATAAAAGTAAAATTTTAAATTAAAAAAACCCTTCTGTAGTGAGGGTCTAGAGCATGTCTAGACCTGCTGAGCTGGAATATATGTAGAACAGCATTACATACTGGGCAGCTCAGTGGTGTATTGGATTGAGCACTGGATCTGGAGTCAGGAAGACATCTTTCTGTGTTCAAATCTGGCTTCAGACATTAGCTGTGTGATTTCTGACAAGTCACTTAACCCTTTTTGTTTCAGTTTCCTCAGGTAAAATGAGCTGGAGAAGGAAATGGCAAAGCATTCCAGTATTTTTGTCTAGAAAACCCCAAATGGGATCACAAAGATTCAGACACTGAAATAATGGAACATCAAAAACAATATCTACTTTTATATATATAATATATATATATATATATATGTATATATATGTGTGTGTGTGTATATACTATATATATGTATATATATATATATACACATACACAATATAAATAGATATACAATATGTATATGTGTGTGTGTATAGATACACATATTTGTATGTAAGCTTTTTGGAAATCAGGATCGTTTTATTCTTTGCCCTTGTTACCTGTGCTAACCTCAGTGCCTGACACATAGTAGGTACTTAATAAATATTTTGGATTTGATTGGTTTGAAAGGCTACCCATGCAGGAAGGATTAGAATTCCTTCTTTGCTTCCAAGAGGGAGGATTAGGCATAATTGGTAAAAATTGCAGTGAAGCAAATTTAGGTTTGATTTAAGAAAACTTACCAATGAGACCTATCTGAAAGTAGAATTGGACTTCCCTGAAGAGGCAGTTGGTGCCCTGCCGTCACTGAAGGCTAGATAGATACTTTTAATGGTATGTCATGGAGCAAATTCATTTTCATATATTATTTGGAGTATATAGCCCACAAGTTCCTTTCTAACTCAAATTAGGTGATTCTGTGAAGTCAGTTTCAGGTCAGCCATGGGTTGTTTTTTTTAAATTTTTTTAGTTTGTTTCTTAATCCAGCTCTCCTTGCATTTCCCTTCCTCCATCTGGCCCTAGAGAGAATTCAGATGGCTTCCTTGGAATATCAGAAATCTGATCCCTATAGCCAGGGTAGTTAAGCACAGCATCAGGAGGTGAGAAACAA